GGAAAGGATCGCTCTCCCAAGGGCCAACTCAAGGTCATTCCCACCGATTGATTTATTGGGCAACAAGTGACAGAATATCTACTGCTCCCAGGTAGCTGCTCCCCCATGGGACCAGAGGAATTGAGCTAGAAGAGAGGCAGATGTGAAGGGAAACCCCCCAAATACAGCCCCCCAAACACAACAGATCTGCCCTTTATCAGATCCATTCTTTGGTCTGAGCTAAGGGCAAGAAAACAAATGCTGGAGTGGAGGGGAAGCAGATGGATGGAGAATCAAAACACAGATTTCACCACCTATTTTCAAGAAAGGCTTTTTGTTCTTTCATACAAATCAAAACAACAGCGGAGGCCGATGGGCTCCCCACTTCAACTGCTGCAAGAAGATTGTAAACCCACGACCCACTGCTGTCCTGGACTGCGAGGAAGAACATTTCCTCTTGACCTACAGCTGGTGACCAGCTTGTTTCTCAGACAGAACCACCCCCAGATTTTCAGGCCAGAAGGCATCGTTGCGATGACACTTTGCGTAACACGTATCGTATGTGACCTCGTTAATGCGGAGCCCGGTATCTACTGAGGCCGAACTGAACATCTTTAGACAAAAATCCCACCTCAGTTGAAACACCAGGAGGTAGAGATTCCAACTGATACACCTCTAAATGCTGATAATTAATATTCCAAGCTGGCTTGTACCTACAGACCTGCTCTGATCACTACCCAGCCAAAATACTATAACCCAAACCGGATACGCTTCCTAACACCAGGAAGAAAACTCCTTCAGCTCTTATGCTTAAGATGGCCACAGGAAATAGAAGGGGGGAACATTCCACAGCGACCCATCCAGCCAAGTGAAAATCTTGCACAATCTCCTCTTACAGCCAAGGTCAGTAATTAAGTTAAAGAAAACTCACCTGTCAATCTCACTGCTGGTTGGCCTGACCACTTTGGCCCAGGAGGACCCTAACGCGTAAGCCTCTTGGCCCATCGATCCGTGGCCTGTGGTGTCGATCACCATAGCAGTGACCTCCTCAGCGCTGCTCCCATCTTCTCCCGACGGCTGATGCTCTGCCCCGAGCCACTCCTCCAGATTCTCCATTTTAATGCGCACTCCTCCCAGCACCCGGACGTCGTCATCATTCCGTCCCCCGCGGTCTCCCATTCCCGTCTCAACGTACCACTGTCCCGCTCTGTTAATCCGTAGTATGGGCTCCCTGCTTTCCACATCCGAACTCTGCTCAATTATCTGCGGGCTGGTGGACTCCTCGGGCGGGCTGAGCTCCCGAATGTCCAGCACCGTGCTAACCTGGCCGAGGCGACTCCCCTTCGGGGTGTTGTGACGCGGGCTCAGAGAACGGTTGGGATTTGGTGTCACCCGGTGAGACTCCGGTGGTCTCTCCTGATGCTTTGTCCTGGTCTGGCTCAATTCTGCTTCCACTTCTGCGACGTTAATTTTGAAATGAATTCCCTCAAGAATCTGTGTGCATTTGTCTATGATGTGCTGCATCTGCAAGAAACTGGCAGCTGTTAGGTAACTGATGATGTCAGCCAGCTGCAGACATATTCTACCGGTGTAACAAAAGGAAAGGAGCTGCTCAAAAACAGAAGGGTTCTTGATGACAGAAATGGAAACGGTGCTCATTTCGTTCAAGGACATGTGGTCACGGAAGTAGGGCGAGCTGGCAGCCAGGACCACCTTGTGAGCGCGGAAAGCTTGCCCCTGCACGTTGACCACGATGTCACACAGGCGACCCTGCATGCGTAGCTGATTCAGGTGGCTCAGGACAGAGTTACTGAAGTCAGGAATCTCCAGCTGTATGTTCCCACTCTTCTCCATGGCTGTCCCAGTTGCAGGTGTACAACCCTACTGGAAAGGGGGAAAAAATACCATCGCTAGCAGAGCTAGTCTATCATTTGCATTTAAAACATTTTTGCCTACTTTCACGCAGTTTGAAATACTGGGATTTTTAGAGAACTCTCTCACCATTTAATTTACAAGCAGCTCGCAGCAGTTCTCTGATCTTTTATGTGCTGTACAGCACTTTCCCCAAGAGTTACGTTAAACCAGTCCCCGACAGACCCCCCACTCCCCATTCCCTGTGGCTTAAGTGCTCGAAACAGTTCGTTCTGTCAGCCTCAATAAAAGCACATTTGCATTGTAAAAGGAACATTAAAAATGGTTCAGGTACTAAAAATAGGCAACTGATTGCATAATGGATTAAAATACTTAGCCCTTGTACCTTCTAAGCACTGTGAAAAGGGAAAGTAATATTGTTATCCCCCTTTTGTAGAACAGGAATCAGGAAGGAGACACGGGGGCCTAAATCCTCCTCAGAGACTTTTCAAAAGCTGACAGGCACACAATTTGACCTCAAGGCATCCTAAAAGTACATCGTTAAAACCAAGATATTCATCACATGTGGCGTTTCTGACACATGGCAGAAAATACGTAACAGGACAGTGAAAGAAAAAGGACAGAATCCAGTTCTAAACACCAGCTTATCAGACCATCCACGGGGCACAAGTGACTCCCTGGCAAAAGCAGCTGACGTTTGTGTGGTTTGAGATATTGCATACAGCAAAAGACAACTTATGAACAATGGGGATTAACAAACTAGCTCTCCTAGTTTCCCTTCCATAATTCATTTTTCTATAATCATCACATTTCATTTTGGCAAAGTTTGAAAAGGAGCCCTGACCATATATGGTAAAAATTCGGAATGATCCAAAATTAGACGTAAACTCGCCCAAAAAGGAAAAAAAAAAAAAAAAAGGAAAGTAAGTAAGTTTATTAAAGAGCACTCGTGGCATGAACAGCTTCCAGGCTGGATGGCATCTGAAGTGTCGATTAAGCAAAGTGCTGCAGATATCAAAACAATTTCAGGCAGGCTGGGAATACGGAGGCTCACACTGCCTGCTCCGAGAAATCTCAGAATCGAAGGGACTAGCGCACAGGAAAGCATGTGTACCTCTGAAGGACATTTTATTTTTTAAAATTTACGAACGCTGCAGGGTAGCGCACATTCATATGCCCACACAGACTTTGTGCAAACTTGGCAAAATATGTTACTAAACCTGAAGCTGCAGGACAGCCTGTCAATCTTGTGAAGTCATGCAAAGAGATTACTAAACGGCCGGATGGCTGCGTGTCTCTGGGGTAGGTGAGATCGGGCGGGCACAAAACTTCACGAGGAGCAGCTTCATGCCGCCACGTCTTAAGGCTTCTTCTCCCCTTCCTCAATCTTTAGAAGAAAGCAATAAACCCCACACAGGTCCGCATCAACACGTTAAGAGTGGAACTTCAAACGCGCAAAACGCAGTGAAATAGAGAACCCGACATCTTACCTGTAACGTTAAGAGTAACATGCAGAGGGGAGGAAACGGGGCTGGTATCTTGTTGTTTTCCTTTTTTCTTCTGATGTTCTAAGAAGGTCTGAAAACTTTTTGCCCCCTTCCCCTTTAGAAGGAAAAAAGAAAAGAAAGAAAAAACGTAGCACGGAGGAGTAAGGTTCTCCCGAGCACAATCAAAAACGTAAAGCTTTGTCATTCTTTGTTTTGCTGGAGGATACAGCAGCAGGATTAGCTAACCATTACATGACGTCCCGCCCCAAACCACAGAGAAACACCGAATCTTATCAAATTGATCTTTCCCCACAGTCTGCTCAGTGTTTGTGTCTTACCAATGGTCATTAAAATAAAAAATGGAAGTGCAAATAACCTGAATAAGTAATTTCCTTTCTTAAGGGGCTGGTATCTCTGGCACTAACCCGGCAGCATTTAAACACACACAGGGTTTTCCTGAAACGAGCCTTCTCACTTATCCCATTAGGAACACTCACACAGCCAAAATCACGTCGAGCCTGTGCAAATGTTTACAGGCTTGGGGAGCCTGTACTCTCGTCATCTTCCCAAACCAGCAGTTTCTAAAGCGACAAACCCCAAAGCAGTCTCTTAAGGCAGGCAAGCAAAGGAAAGGCGGGCGGGCATCCTTTGCGAGGTGAAACACCCCGGGGTAGGCTCGCGCAGGGCGGGGAGGCTGCGGCCGACTTGTTCGTTTCTCAGGGGGTCAAGCTCGGGATGTACAGAAAGAGAATGGAAAAAATAATAATTAGAACTTAATGGCCGAGCATGGCTGTGTACGGCCCCCCAGTCAGAAGTCAGCTGCTCCCGGGGGAGCCCAAAAAACTATTTGTGAACTTCTGCTCTGAAAGCAGGGAAAAATCTGTCCACCGCTGATGGCAGGAGAAAAGGACCCGCGTAGCTTCGTTAACCTCCGTATCAAGGAAGCGGCACTTTATGATGCACTTTACACCCTCAGCCAGAGGCTGGCAAGGGGGAAACTATCCTTTTGGTTCAAACTACCCTTGTCAGAAGATGATTTCTGTCCTCCCAGGTAAGAGGTCTATCATAAGCTTATGCACCTCAGCCGGCAGTGCAATGGCATCTCAGTTTTTGCCCTTCCTGGCACTGGACGGCACGTTCATCATCTCAGCGTTTACTTGCAGGATGAGCAGGATCCCCTGCGGCGCAGTGCACTTTACAGAGAACGTACTGAGACACTGATCTATTTTTATTACTATTTAAAGTGTCACCAGCTGAGACTTGGACTTACTTATCTCAGAAAATGCCTTTCACCCTGAGAAGCAAGCGCAACTACCGAGAACAGCAGAAATTCTCGATCCATCAGGCCCTCGTGAAAAGCTGGGACAGACCATCTGCAGCAGATGATGCTCACTCTGAATATATCCTTTGTCGGAAAACTGTCACACTGGCGAGCTGTTTAGGGGAGGTGGAACTGAAAAGTCTCGGTATTTGGGGATGAGATTTACCATGACTGGTCAACTTGACTACTTTCAAATTAGGATGGGACCTTAACAGAGATAAAAACAATAGTAATTCTAAATTGAGATGAGAGATGCTGCCTTCCCCATCCCCCCCCCGGCTCAGCTACAAGAGCCAATGTGACAGTGCTCGGTGTTTTCTCCGCCACGCCACTGACGGGCGATGACTCCGGGCCTTCGCTCCCGGCGGGAGGCGATCAGGGTGGGATTTTAGCCCTGACAGCTGCAGGGGCGCCCGGAGCCCCGAACGCGGGGGAGCGTGGAGCAGGGCAAACCGAAATCCACCCTCCTCTCACCCCGAGAGCTAAATCAACCCCACGCCGTCCCGCCCGTGGCGCTGACAACGCACCGCTCCCCTCTCCCACCGGCCGGAGGGACGGGGCGAG